TTAACGACCAGCTATAATTTTCGTGACAAATCTCTTCGTTTAGTACGGAGTAGACTTTCATTGTGCATCATTTGACCCGTTGTTTTGTCCTCTAACTGCGCTCGACCCTCGCGCTTCCCTCTATCGGTGCCCATTACGGCCAACAGACCCGGGTTGTAAAAGACGTTTTATACATATGCTAGAAACTATGTTCCACCCCAGGCGGCATTAATTAGTGCCAAAAAAGGTTTCTTTGTGGTTGGATACCCCCCCACATACACGTAGGGTCATGGGCTATAGATTTTAGGGGCCAGGGAGGTGTGTTGTTGTATGGATAGGAACAGTAGGGCAGTGTGGGTGATACTCCTTAATTATACTTGGCAGTTAGGGGTTAGTCAATAATATAATATACTTCATTAAGCTTTTACAGCAGGTTGACAGAGTCCATTAGCATATATGTATGATTACTTATGATATCAAATATGCTACCTTGCGGAGACCAAAGATTTTAGCTAATTTGTATCTCATTTATTCTAGCATACATACAATTAGTCTGGCATATATTACCCACAGTTATGACCCTGTATAGTACAGTCTGTATATTATTCCCATTTGGCATAAGTATTTTTTCATGTTTCTAGCCCCTCAAAGAAACGTCTTTGCTTTTTAGGGGGGTTAGCAAGCTGTGTATTATTTGGAACGTCTACTTTTAGTCACGTATATTTTGGTTCTTATGTCCCCAGGGTATGCCCGGAACTACCTGGGGGGCTACGGTCTGGGGGTATACCCGGAACTGTACCCCCCTGGGTTACGGGGCTCTGGGGATTACCCGGACGTACCCTGGGTACGGGGTCTGATATACCGGAACGTACCCCCTTGGGTACGGGTCTGCTATACCGGGAACGTCCCTGAGTCACTTATTTTTTGATATGTTAGGGTTAGGGGTTTTTAGGGTTAGGGAGTTTTTTAGGGCGTGCATCTCCCTAGCTTGTTAGGTTGAAGGTAGGCGGAGGTACGGGTCCCCCCGGGATTATTAGATTAGTTACCAGGGACGGTTCCGGGCTATACCGGGGGACCGTACCCAGGGGTACGGTTCCGGCAAGCAGTACCCTGGGGGACATATAGACCCTCTCAGCGAAAGTACGGCATACGAGATGGTCCTGTATAAATGGTACATTATATCAGGAGTAGATAATAACAGATTATATTATTATTCACTCCTGATATTATGTATATATGCACGTGCATATTATGTATACATATATGTACATGTTCATACAAAGATCAGTATAATGTAGAGACCAGTGCATGTTCAGCATCATCTCTAACTGTTGGGATTTGTCATTTTCAGCCCGAATTCGATAAAGAGTTCCCGCCTATCGCCAAACGAACATCGTCGCTACGGCAACGTGCCCACAAGCTTGCGCAGCGCCACCTATGCTGTAGCCTGTGGAGCTGGGTCAGCTTTCTTACCGGCATTTTTCCGTTTGTGCACACCATACGGAGTTACCGCATCCGCGAATACGCGCTCGGCGACCTCATAGGTGGCGTCACGGTCGGCATCATGCAGATTCCTCAGGTTAGTAGCGCGGCCGTCTATGTGTTCGTGTGTCTGTGTGTGTGTGTGTGTGTGAGAGAGAGAGCTGCTGCTGATGATGATGATGCTGCTGCTGCTGCTGCTGCTTCTGCTGTCTGTCCGTGTGTGTGTGTGTGTGTGCGTGCGTGCGTGCGTGCGTGCGCGCGCATGCGTGTGTGTGTTTGTGTGTGTGTGTGCTCACAGTTACAGACAGCTGTGCAGACAGACAGACAAACAGACAGCCTGACAGATATCCAGAGAGACATGATACAAGATTGCGTGGCACAGCTTTGCTGTTGATCCTGCTTGATTCATATGGCTTGATTCATGGCTGGTCACTTAGCACCTGTCATTGATTTACTACCTGTCGTAGTTTCGGACTACGGATACGCAATTAGACAAAGAACTCGTAGAGTATGTGATTTTCACCACTCCAGGTTCCCAGTGATGGCTGTGGGGATCTAGTACACGTACAGAATCACCTGGGTGGAGCACAGATAGTGTCTTAGAGGGTTTGTCATACTGCAACTTCTGTTTCTCCTGCCTCTCTTGTAGCATCGCGTTAGTGTCACCATCGACTAGGCACTGCGTTATTTCGAAATCGGCGCCACCGCCGCCATCTTTGTCTCGTTAAGTATGAAAGCGTATCACTACTAGCTCCAACAAATGGTCTTTGCTAGCGATAGAAGGCCTGTGTAAACACATATTTCAATTATTTGTTAAGTAGTCGAGTACATAGTGTTTAGGGGGACTGTTGAGCTGTGACGCAAGCATTCCCAATACGCTCCCCGAGCGCTGACGCGTCAACGGTACGGAAAAAATAATCGCGCCCGGGGGATAGCATTACCCCATTATTACGGGGCAGGTAACCCAGTCTAACACGAGGTAGAGTAGACTGGTACACTTACCGGCCACTCCGGCCATTGTCAATGGTGACAAATTTTTATTTTTTTTTTATGAGAGGTGAACTCGATTTGAAACCAGCAAACCAGCAAGTTCACCCCTACATTTTGGTATTTTTATTCCATTAATTATTTTTAATTTTCCGATTCCAAAACAAAAATGTTCACCCCACATGCAGTGCTTCAAATTTACACACAGAGTGTCCCAGATTGCATCTCGGAGCTTCTACAATTCAAAAATTTTACGGGGGGGCATACCCCCGGACCCCCCTAGCAGTGATCGAGTTGCACCCCATCCTATAAGCTTGAAGAACCCTGATAACGACCAGCTATAATTTGTGACAAAGCTCTCTCGTTAGTACGGATAGACTTTCATGTGCATCATTTGACCCGTTTTGTCCTCTACCTGCGCTCGACCTCGCCTTCCCTCTATCGGTGCCATTACCGGCACAGACGCGGTTGTAAAAGACGTTTATAACATTGCTAGAACTAGTTCACCAGGTGCATAGATAGTGCAAAAAAGGTTCTGTGTGTTGTATACCTACACGTAGAGTCTGTGGTATAGATAGGGCAGGAGTGTGTGTTGTATGGATAGAACAGTAGGAGTGTGTGTACTCCTAATATATACTTGCAGTAGTAGTCAATAAATAATATATTCATAAGCTTTTACAGCAGGTTGACAGAGATCATTAGCATATATGTATGTACTTAGATACAAATATGTAACCCTGCGGAGACAAAATTATGTAATTGTATCTCATTTATTCTAGCATACATACAATAGTGTGCATATATACACAGTATACTGTATAGTACAGTCATCGTATATATCCCATTGCATAGGTATATGTTCTAGCTCCAAGAAACGGTCTTTGCTAGGGTTAGAAGACCTGTGTATATATTGACGTTACGTTAGTCACGCTCATATGGTCTATGTCCCCCAGGGTACTGCCGGAACGTAACCTGGGTACGGTCTGGTATACCGGAACGTACCCTGGGTACGGTCTGGTATACCGGAACGTACCCTGGGTACGGTCTGATATACCGGAACGTACCCTGGGTACGGTCTGGTATACCGGAACGTACCCTGGTCACTATTTGATATGGTTAGGGTTAGGGTTAGGGTTAGGGAGTAGGCGTAGGCATCTCCCTAGACTTGTTAGTGGAGTAGGCGAGGTACGGTCCGGCATATTAGACATGACAGGTGCTAGATGACCAGCATGAATCCAAGCCATATGAATCAAGCAGGATCAACAGCAAAGCTGGCCACGCAATCTTGTATCATGTCTCTCTGGATATCTGTCAGGCTGTCTGTTTGTCTGTCGTTCTGCACAGCTGTCTGTAACTGTGAGCACACACACACACAAACACACAGCACCATGCGCGCGCACGCGAACGCACGCAACGCACGCACAGCTACACACGCCACACCCACACAAACCCACACGGACAGACAGGCAGAAGCAAGCAGCAGCAAGCAGCAGGCATCCATATCATCAGCAAGCAGCTTCTCTCTCTCACACACACACCACACACACAGACACAACGAACAACCATAGACAGCCGCGCTACTAACCTTGAGAATCTGCATGATGCCGACCGGACGCCACCTGATGGGGTCGCCGGACGCGATATTCGCGGATGCGGTAACTTCCGTATGGTGTTGCACAAACGGAAAAATGCCTCGGTAGCCAAAGCTGACCCAGCTCCCACAAGGCCTACGCAATAAGGTGGCGCTGCGCAAGCTTGTGGCGACGTTGCCGCGTAGCGAGCGATGTTCGTTTGGTCGATATGCGGAGAACGTACTTATCGAATTCGGGCTGAAAATTACAAACATCCCGAACAGTTTAGAGATGATGCTGAACATGCACTGGTCTCTACATTATACTGATCATTTGCGTATGAACATGTACATATATGTATACTCAATATGCACGTGCAATAGATATCATAATTATCAGGAGTTGAATAATAATATACATCTGTTATTATACTACTCCTGGATATAATGACCATTTATATCAGGACGCATCTCGTGATGCCGTACTTTCGCTGAGCAGGGTCTAATGGTCCCCCAGGGTACCGCCGGAACGTACCGTGGGTAGGTCCTCGGTATACCGTAACGACTCCTGGTACTA